TTGTCTGTCTTCATTGATTTAGTTATTTCATCCAGACAGAGTCAAGTCTATTTATAACACTTCTTTGTAAAGTGTTAGTTTTGGTTGGCAGTGACAAAACATTTTTCTTTTAATATATGTATATAAAATGGATATAGATAATATTATATTACATTTGTAGGCATTTTTATGCATTAAATACAGCTAAAAGGGTAAAAAAAAGATTGTTTTGTGGTTCAGGAACAGATTAATCCATCTTACATTGTTTCTTATGGGAAAATTTGTTTGGTTTGAGAACAAATTGGTTTCCAAACAACTTTTAGGAAAAAATTAAGTTCATAAGCCAAGGTTTGACTGTAACTTATATTTATAAATATGGTATAGTTATTAATATAATAATGTTTTTCTGACAGAATTATGTCAAGGAAGAAGTTGCCACAGTAGAATGTTATTTATACGTGTTTGTGAATTAGTGATGGAACTATTTTCAAAATCTTTTTTCAAGCAATATTTTTTTCGTCCATTGTTAAAATTAGCTGGTTAGTCTTTAATTTTTCACACATACTGATTTTATTAAAAGTAATTATTACTCGAAACTTAAAGATTTTTATACTTGAAATATCAGAAGATCCAGTTCCAAATGTTCGACTTAGGTTGTGCTCTGTTTTACCTCAATTAAAAGCTCAAATAAAATTACCAACAGATGGATCACTGTTGCAGGAACTTGAAGCTTGTGTTCGTGTATTAATGACTGATGAAGGCGATAGGGATGTTGCAGCAGCTGTTCGAAATGTAAATGCGTGAATATTTTTACAAATTATTAATGCTTTAAATACATATAAATTTATTAAAAAGCTTCTTGACTGTATTGTTTGTGTACAAAAAACTATTTAGCTACTATGACTAATGAACAGGCTTATTATACACCCAACCTATTTAAATGCATTTTGGTTAAATTAATTAAATAGTCTGGATGTGTAATAAGCCTGTATTATTATTAGTCATAGTAAGTAAGTAGTTTTTTGTAACATAAATTTATATTTCTTGCAAATTATAAATTATTAATGTATTATTTTATGCTATACAGTAATTTTAAAAAATCATAGAATATCATTATCAATGTGATTTATATATATATACATATATATAATATTATGTGACATGTAGTGTGTAAGATTTAAGTTGAGTTGATTTGTTTTAAATAATGGTATTTGGTTTTAAGGTTATAGAAGAATTGGATAAGATTGAAGTTGCAATGGAGCCTGTAAGTTTATTTTATTATTATAAATATTGAGAAATAAATAAATATATACTATTCTTTATGTACAGTGGGTGATCGGTTAACGAACATAATCCGTTCCAAGACTTTGTTCGCTATTCGAATTGTTTGTTAACCGATTATTGATTTACCATAGGTTTTAATGGAAATTTAATTAATTCGTTCTGGAGACTCCCCAAAAATAAAAAAATATATACTTTCTTACTACGTTTATTATACTTTCTTACTACGTATATGTAATAATAAAAATACATATATATGCAGTATTGCATTTTTATTAGTCATGATTTTTCTGTTTGAAAGAGTTAAAGAATCTGTCTAATATTGATTGCTTTTCTCTCTTCTTCAGGATTTTTCATAAGTAATTAATAGCATTGCAACTGTAGAAATCCCCAAGCCTCAACCTGATTTGGATACCATTCTAAGACCATTGTTCTGACATCCTCCCACTACTTCAAAGGATCTTTAATAGCAGATATCGGCATTAATCCTCTTTTTCAGAAGAAAACATATCTCGCCGAGTTTCTTGGTGTTCTTCATTCAAGAGTTCTTGGTGTTCTTCTGTCGTCAGATCCATTTCAGGTTCCATTATGAACTTGTCGATGTTCTTTATTTCTCAGATGTGATTTTTGTTATTTCTTTAGCTGCTTGAGTCTTCTTGATTATACAATATTTTTCTTAAATAAGATTGAACTGCGGCCTATTGTAGACCTGTTCATACCATACTGCCCAGCAGCATTTGGCATTTTCTGCCTACTCTGTATCTTTGCTATTATACTTTCACCTTTTGAAAAGAAAAACAGATGCAAAACTTAACGAGTGCCTACCCGACAGTCTCGCAAATACATAAAAGAATTGTTTTGTCACAAAAATAAAAGGCTGGAATTACAAGTGAGAGTTTCAAAGTGCAGAGGAATACTATCCGATTGGTATATACCGGGTTGAATGTCGATGTCGACATCTCCCACACTTTGAAAAGTTTCGAATTGTTGCCCAAAGACAAGAGAAGACCAATCGGTATTCATTATTTTACATCGCTTCTTCTTGTGTTTGTTCTGTAGGGTACTTGTTATCCAATCGTGTGTTCGTTGTCCAAACATAAAAATCTTTTGCGAAAGTGTTTGTTATCCAATTTGTTCATTATCCAATCTGTTTGTTAACTGATCACCCACTGTTTTTCTTAGAATCAGAGAATGTACAAAGTGAAATTAAAGTTTCATTATTTTTAGTTTAACAGTTTTTTAATAACACACTTTTCAAATTTATTAAGTTAATAATTAAGAAATCATTTGTTCATTATTGATTATTGAATTTGATGATTAGTATAAATTAATAACAACAATAAAACTGAGTTAATTTAATGTGCTAAAATTTGCTGAACTTAACAAAATTATGATTAAACTAATCAAATAATAAAGTTTGAATTTTGGGTGGGTGAATTATTGTATATTGGACATTTTAATGATTAAACAAGAGTGATACTACAACAGGGTAAAATAAAACAACAAATGTACCGGTGTGCTTCTTGGAAAAAACAGATCATTACAAACATTTTCGAACTTTGAAGTTCTTCTTCAGGTAACTAATGACTGTTAGACGAATACGATTCAAATTAAAATCAAATTGGAACACCATTCAGAATTCTGTTGCATGGATATCGATAACGTCATTCAGGCATGTGCTGCTTTAATGGCTGTAGATTATCGTAAGTTCTTATCTAAGAGCACTTGCCATGCTTTTGACAGGGTGATTTTATCCTTATGGTTGATGCATCTGTTTTTTCCCGAGAAGCACACCGGTAACAGGCTCATCGGTATGTTTGTTGTTTTATTTTAATGATTAATTAATTCAAAGTTGTAATTGTGTAAATTGTTGCATCACACTTTTTGTCATCAGTGTTACTTTTTAAGAAATATTTTTTTTGTCTTCGATTAATGGCATCTGTGGCCACTCACATCAACACCATACAGAATTTAATTTTAAAAAAATAAACCCACAGATTTGAATAGTCTCAAACGAATTTTAAAATAAATCCTATAGTTATTAATATAATAATGTTTTTCTGACAGAATTATGTCAAGGAAGAAGTTGCCACAGTAGAATGTTATTTATACGTGTTTGTGAATTAGTGATGGAACTATTTTCAAAATCTTTTTTCAAGCAATATTTTTTTCGTCCATTGTTAAAATTAGCTGGTTAGTCTTTAATTTTTCACACATACTGATTTTATTAAAAGTAATTATTACTCGAAACTTAAAGATTTTTATACTTGAAATATCAGAAGATCCAGTTCCAAATGTTCGACTTAGGTTGTGCTCTGTTTTACCTCAATTAAAAGCTCAAATAAAATTACCAACAGATGGATCACTGTTGCAGGAACTTGAAGCTTGTGTTCGTGTATTAATGACTGATGAAGGCGATAGGGATGTTGCAGCAGCTGTTCGAAATGTAAATGCGTGAATATTTTTACAAATTATTAATGCTTTAAATACATATAAATTTATTAAAAAGCTTCTTGACTGTATTGTTTGTGTACAAAAAACTATTTAGCTACTATGACTAATGAACAGGCTTATTATACACCCAACCTATTTAAATGCATTTTGGTTAAATTAATTAAATAGTCTGGATGTGTAATAAGCCTGTATTATTATTAGTCATAGTAAGTAAGTAGTTTTTTGTAACATAAATTTATATTTCTTGCAAATTATAAATTATTAATGTATTATTTTATGCTATACAGTAATTTTAAAAAATCATAGAATATCATTATCAATGTGATTTATATATATATACATATATATAATATTATGTGACATGTAGTGTGTAAGATTTAAGTTGAGTTGATTTGTTTTAAATAATGGTATTTGGTTTTAAGGTTATAGAAGAATTGGATAAGATTGAAGTTGCAATGGAGCCTGTAAGTTTATTTTATTATTATAAATATTGAGAAATAAATAAATATATACTATTCTTTATGTACAGTGGGTGATCGGTTAACGAACATAATCCGTTCCAAGACTTTGTTCGCTATTCGAATTGTTTGTTAACCGATTATTGATTTACCATAGGTTTTAATGGAAATTTAATTAATTCGTTCTGGAGACTCCCCAAAAATAAAAAAATATATACTTTCTTACTACGTTTATTATACTTTCTTACTACGTATATGTAATAATAAAAATACATATATATGCAGTATTGCATTTTTATTAGTCATGATTTTTCTGTTTGAAAGAGTTAAAGAATCTGTCTAATATTGATTGCTTTTCTCTCTTCTTCAGGATTTTTCATAAGTAATTAATAGCATTGCAACTGTAGAAATCCCCAAGCCTCAACCTGATTTGGATACCATTCTAAGACCATTGTTCTGACATCCTCCCACTACTTCAAAGGATCTTTAATAGCAGNATTTTTTTAATAAACATATTTTCACAAAATTGTGGAAATAAAATTGTAAAAATAATAATAATAAGCAGAAATTAATACTTTCAGCAAGAGTCACAAGTAACTCAAAAAGAGCTGCATGTGACTCTTGGAGCCGCATTTGTCCATGTCTGTTATATAGTATATGTGTAGAAAAGCAAAGAGGTTTGGAAAGTTTATAATAAGCATTAATATTTATAATGCTATTTTAAAGCAAGATCAATGTTTTCTTGAAACAAGTTTACCTGTGAATCAAAAGTTTGAGTTTAAAAAGTTTATAGAATTATTTAAAATTTTCTTTATTGAACATACTATATTTTTCACCTTATAAGATGCACTTTTTTGTACTTAAAATTTATCTAAAAATTTGGAGGCATCTTACAATCCAAATGTGTCTTACCCTGTGAAGAATATATTTTCTCCAAAAAACTTTACCTGAAAAATGTGATTCATCCAATACAATGATGTGTCTTATAAGACAAAAAACACAGTATTTCTCATGTTTTGAATTTTATTGCATAAATTAGATTACAGTACATTAGTGTTAGAGTTTCAGCCAATTTGTTTTTATTATCATAATTCACTCACTGGTTAGAACATGTAAATTTTATAGAATCTTTTAAAAATCAGTTTTTTTTTTCTTTTTTGAGATGGAAAAACTCATTACTGACTAAAATTTCATTTAGAAAAATAAAATAAATAAATAAGAAAAAATATAAATATTGATATATTGTTATAAGCATGTTTGATATATGCATTAACTTAATATGTCCATAAATACCAGTATTTCAAAAACATTACTACATTTAAAATACTTGAAATATTTTAGAATATTTCAAATGCCAATTCCAGTAACAAATACCAAATGCTTAATATTTGAACTTCCTTGCAAAAATATTTTAAATAAAATATGAAATATTCTCAAAATATTTAAAATAGGAATTGAAACAATTTCATTTGACATAAATATCAAGCTCATATGTACTATTGTCTATCTATGGATTATATACATATATAATTATATAATGTTATTTTAAATTAACATTTCCAAATATTTCCATATAAAATTAATCATTTTCCATGATTATAATATAATCAACAAATATATTTTTTATTATTTTTTAGGCAATGGTGCTCTTTGCTGAACCAATCAATTTTTCGGAAGAATTGTATAACACATTTTCTGATTTATGCTTAGATCCTCATTATGATGTTCGCAAAACAATAGCATGTGGTTTTCATGAGGTATGTTTTTATTAAAAAGCATTAATTTGTATTTATTATTAATTTATAATTTATCTTAATGTGAATGATGAATTTTATAGGTAACAAAATTATTAGAACCAACTTCTTCAAATATTCTAAAAGAATTAGTTTTACTTTTGCAAGATGAATGTTTAGAGGTAATATATAAAATTCATGTGTATTTGTCTACATATAGTATCTATTTTAATAATATAAATTTACAATTGTAGCAATATTGATTGTAAATCTTATATAGTCCTAAATAGTTATATATTTTGAATTCTGTATTATTTATTATTATTTTTATTTTTAAATATATTTTAGCAAAAAATAATTATTCAAAATTTATTATAAATTTTAAAGAATGACAGTGTTTTTT